GGATGCTGGATTTGTTTTGGGAGTTGTTTGGCAGGAGACAACTGTTCTCTGCCGCCTGGGGCGTGGAAGGGCTTCCCCTGCCTCCGGAGGCACCAGGACCTCGCTGCAGATTCCCAGTGCAGTCGGGGCCTGGCCTGGGAGGGAAAGGACCTTGGGGCTGAATAGTTTGGCTGGTTGGGCCAAGGCCGTTCCCTTGATGAGCCGGGAAGGCGGCTCTGTGCTCCCCCTCCCCCGCTGGCCTGATAAGAGCGGTCGGCCCTTAAAAAAGCACCAGAGGGACTTTGTGAGCTGGGGCGTGTACGCTGCTGCGCTTCGGCGTCTCTCCCGGGTTCCTTTATCCCAGGAGCCGGCTTGCCAAGGAGGAGGAGGTGCCGCCCTCCCTCTCTAGGGCGCCGGCAATGCTTGTGGGGGAAGGAAGGCCGGCCCTTAAGTAACCCCTTTGCTGCCGTTTGAAAGGTCTTAAAACAATGTGAGTCTGCCGCAGCTGGCTGGGCACAGGGCCTCTCTGGAGGCTAGGACAATGGCAGGGGTCAGAGGTCAGGGTGATGAAAAGGTTGGGGCCAGTTTTATGTAGGGCCCTCGGCTAATTGGTGTCAGCTCTGGCGTGATGGGTCAGCGGCGTGTCCATCTCATGGAGGGGACACGTGGGGATCCCGCGGCTCTCGCCGCCTCCCCGTCCCTTCGTCCAGCCTGGGGAGTGGGCAGGCAAAAACCGAGTGCCCGGGGCTGAGCCATGGTGGGGCTTGCTCATGTGGTACCCGAGGGGCATGGCGCCGTGGCCGTGGGTCATGCAAGTACGTCGACGTGGCAGCCTGGTGCTGTGTGGCCGTCCCTGCTCTGGGTCCGGAGGAGGGAAAGCCAAAGCTGGCGGGTGGGGAGGGCTGGCACAGCGCAGTGCTCGCTGCGCGGTGGGTGTCAGGCTCCGGAGAGGGAGGTGAGCAGTGGCATACCAATGATGTAACTGCTGCCACGCCTGCCTGTCTTCCCAGCGCCGGGGAGGGGAGGGAGGCTCCGTTGCTCCTAGCCCTTGCCGCTCCCTGTCTCTTCCCTGCAAGGGGAATCTCTGCTGTGGCTGATCCCCTCCAGCAGCCTTCCTGAAGGCCTGCAGCGAGCGAGGAGCTGGCCATGGCTCTCAGCCAGGGACCTTGAAAGAGGCAGCTGGACGTTCCAGCTCGGAGCGTGGGAGAGAGGGGAACGGGCAGACCCTCGTGCGGCGGCAGAAAAGGGTGTGATCCTGGCCCCAGGGATCGCTTTGTCTGGCGGGTCCAAAGAGTCGCCGTCCGGTCATCGAAGGCCGGCTCTGAATGGCGTCGTTGTAAAATACGGCTCAAACATCCTCCACCGTTCCTGGGCCAGCTGTACGCCCGAGGGAGAGGGAATTCACAGCCAGTTTCTCTCCTTCAGGGGAGCTTTCTGCTTCCCTGAATCACGTTTCTGAGGGTACGTAGGCACTTGCTCCCTATCTCGAGCTAGGGATGCAAATGTAGGCGACCGAAATTGCTAATCCAGCGGGGATTTAAATACGGCTCAAACATCCTCCACCGTTCCTGGGCCAGCTGTACGCCCGAGGGAGAGGGAATTCACAGCCAGTTTCTCTCCTTCAGGGGAGCTTTCTGCTTCCCTGAATCACGTTTCTGAGGGTACGTAGGCACTTGCTCCCTATCTCGAGCTAGGGATGCAAATGTAGGCGACCGAAATTGCTAATCCAGCGGGGATTTAAATATCCCGCACTTCATTAGCATAATCTCGCCCGCGCGCTGTTTCGGAGCTCAGCTGTTTCGAAGCAGGACGTGCGCTCCGGGCGGCGTTCCTTCCAATCAAACCCCTTGGTTCGAACTAACGTTACGCCTCATTTTAACATTAATTCGAACCAAGGGGTTTGATTGGAAGGAACGCCGCCCGGAGCGCACGTCCTGCTTCGAAACAGCTGAGCTCCGAAACAGCGCGCGGGCGAGATTATGCTAATGAAGTGCGGGATATTTAAATCCCCGCTTCATTAGCAATTTTGGTCGCCTACATTTGCATCCCTAACTCGAGATAGGGAGCAAGTGTAGACGCACCCTGAGAGAAGAGTGAGATGCCCTCAGATGTACGGTTACTGTTGTTTAAGGTTTACCTGTAAGTAGCACAGTCCTCACTGTTTCCGATAACTGTACTTGTATTTCCCCTTTTCTGGTCCCTCGAAGGTGTTTGGCTCCTAGCCATCCCCTCTCCTGGGTAGAGACCCACCTACTCTGGTGTCCCTAACAAGCCCATAAGAACATCAGAACGGCCAGACTGGGTCAGACCAAGAATCCATCCAGCCCAGTGTCCTGTCTGCTGACAGCGGCCAACACCAGATGCCCCAGAGGGCGGGAACACAACAGGCAATCCCCTCGTGATCCCTTCCCTGTCACCCATTTCCAAACAGAGGCTAGAGACACCATCCCTACCCACCCTGGCTAATAGTCATTGATGGACTTAACCTCCATGAATTTATTTAGCTCTTTTTTGAACCCTATTAAAGTCCTGGTCTTCTCTGCATCCTCTGGCGAGGAGTTCCACAGGTTGACTGTGCACTAAGTGAAGAAAAACTTCCTTTGGTTTGTTTTAAACCTGCTGCCTATTCATTTCATTTGGTGACCCCTAATTCTTATGTTATGGGAGCAAGTAAATAACTTTTCCTTATTCACTTTTTCCACACCAGTCATGATTTTATAGACCTCTATCCTATCCCCCCTTAGTCTTCTCTTTTCCAAGCTGAAAAGTCCCAGTCTTTTTAATCACTCTTCATATGGGACCTGTTCCAAACCCCTCATCATTTTTTTGCCCTTTTCTGAACTTTTTCCCATGCCAATATATCTTTTTTGAGATGAGGTGATCACACCTGTATGCAATATTCAAGCTGTGGGCGTACCATGGTTTTATACAGAGGCAATAAGATGTTCTCTGTCTTATTCTCTATCCATTTTTAATGATTCTTAACATCCTGTTTGCTTTATTAACTGCTGCTGCACACGGAGTGGATGTTTTCAGAGAACTATCTGCAATGACGCCGCAATCTCTCTCTTGAGTAGTTGTAGCTAAATGAGTCCCCATCAATAATGAGTATTGTATGATGCATTACAGAGACGTTCACATAAAAACAGTAAAAGAACCTGCCCTCCTGTGAGAGAGCTTACCAGAGATCAGCCCCAACTCCAGCCAAGGCCTCTGGTCGGTGTCAGTCCTACAAACACCCCTATGAGGTTTTTCCCTGGGGTTCAAAGTTGATATTGGGAACCAGGGCAAAAGCCACGAAGTCAGTGTAAATGTGGGCTGTTTCCTCTGCGGAGACGTCCCTCCTGCCCTGAATGGGGGTTGGTTTCCCCGGCACTTCGCAGGGCACAGTGGAAGGTTGTCTCCAAAGCAGGGCCCAGGCTAGTGCAGCCTGACGACGACTCCTGTTGGCCACGAGCCCAGGGCTCAAGCCGGCTGCCCCCGAACTCCCCGCGAGCTCGGACGTGGGCCCAAGGTGCGGCCTCTCAGGAGAGATTCCAGTGCTGCCCACAGCCGGTGGCATGTGTTGCTACTGGTAGTGCACATCCACACATGCCTTGGTGCGCATCACAAAATTTAGTCTGCAACATGGATGGAAAAAGATTAGAAGGAACATTGCCCACGGTTCTTTCCTTCTGGTTTCTGGAGACTCCCCTGAGCCAGAAGATGAGTTTCCCTAGAAAGTGGTCCTTCGCTGGAGACTTTACAACCGTAGCGATTTGCCTTAAATACCTCCTGCTGGGTTTAATTCTCCCCCCTTCTCCCATGGGGCGAATACAGTCCCTGGCTCACAGTCAGCCATAAATTGGTCATGCGCTTGCTATAGTAGTCTCCCGAAAGCCTTGCTCAGAGCCATGTAGTCTAGACACACCCTAAGGCGCTGCAGGACTCCTCCAGTTGGTCAACATCCTCCTTGAATTGTGGTCATTAGAACTGGACGGGGGATTTCTGCAGCAGCCACCCAAATAAGCTCTCTATTCCTACTTGAGGTCTCCCCATTTATGCCCCCTGGGATACAATATTAGTCACTTCCAAGGCTCCCAGGTTACGATATCCCTTTAATCAGACTTCCTTTGCCCTGAAAAGCTTTCCGCAGTTGGGTGCTGTTATTCTGATGTGTCCAGCCCCTCCTCCCCCTGTGTTCAGTCTGCACGGACCTTAGCAATTGTGACAGTAAACTTAGAGCGCGCCCACGCACCTGATCCATCTGTCTTGAGACACGGCCCCTGGCTTGGACTTTTCATATGACACTGGTTTCCCGGTACGGCCGTTCACTTAGCTAGCCAGCCCGGGTGCCCCACGTACCATGTGGATGTGTAGAAATCGAAATCTGCACCACTTCTCCCTGCTTCCAAAGTACCACGTAACCGGCGAGACCCGTCTCTTTCCAGATCTCCGATATCTACATCAGTGGAGAGTCCGGGGACATGTCCGCCAAGGAGAAGCTGCTGCTATGGACGCAGAAGGTGACCGCGGGTTACGTGGGAGTGAAATGCACCAACTTCTCGTCGTGCTGGAGCGACGGGAAGATGTTTAATGCGCTCATTCACCGATACAGGTAGGCAGAGGGGCCAGCTGAGCTGTCTGCCCTGGCCACGGGGGGTGTTACGGCTCCTTGTTCTCTCTCCGCATTGAATGGCCTGCACCTTGGAACCCAAGGTCTTCCTGAGGGTGGGCTCTAGGGATGTAAAATCCCAGTTAAGCGGGATCCTGCTTCTACTCCCCCTGCCCTACATGGAAGATGGAAAAGGGGGTAACATTGTGGGGTGAGGAGGTAACAGGTTGTTACCCCCAGCACCGAGCTGAGTGGAGCAGGTTCAGGGACCTACCCAGGAACTCTCTGCCTTACGTGCCTTGAACATGAAGATCTTCTGGTCCTAATTCTCATGTGCCCTTTGGGTCCTATTGCAAAACTGCAGTTGCATGAACAGGGCTCAGCCCGACACCTGGGGGATCCATGGGGGGACCCCCTCCCTCCTCTCCCTCGGGCTCCACGGACCTACCTATTAGCCGGGTGCTGGACCAGAGAGGCTGGGGAGCCTATGGCAGGAAAGCCAGCAGCAGAGGGACCGGGGCCAGAACCCACGGCAGCCTGGGGACACCCTCTCCCTCGGGCTCCACGGACCTACCTATTAGCCGGGTGTGGCTGGGGACACACTGTGTGAAGGTGTCTGTCTCTGTGTGTCTTACAGGCCGGATCTGGTGGACATGGAGCGGGTGCAGATACAGAGTAACCGGGAGAACCTGGAGCAGGCCTTTGAGGTGGCAGAGCAGCTGGGAGTCACCCGGCTGCTGGATGCGGAAGGTGAGAGCGGAGGGTGGTGAGTCCCGCTGGGCGGGCAATTGCCTCTCCCCCTCTTACGCTGCTGACTTGTGTTCCTTTGCCCCCAGATGTGGACGTCCCCTCTCCAGATGAGAAGTCGGTGATCACTTACGTGTCTTCCATCTACGATGCCTTTCCCAAGGTCCCCGAGGGAGGAGAAGGGATCAGCGCGATATGGCCCGGGATGCTGAGGCAGGCTGGTCTGTAACCCCCTGGCGGTGCGACTGGGGGAGGCGTGAGGTCATTCTCTGCCTTCTCTCCAGCTACCGCGGATGAGATCTCCCAAACCAAACAACCCCCAGCCAGTGCTTTGGGCTGGGTAGTAGCATTGAGGGGTCACCCAGCATGGGGACAGCAATCAGGAGAGAGAACTGTGGGTTGGCACCAGCGTTCCCTCTTTTCCATCCATGTGCACAATAAATTTTGTTAGGTGCACCGAGACGTGCACCACCAATAGAAACACAGGCTGCCGGCGGTGGGTGCTCTGTTAGTCAGCAGGGCGGCATTGGACTCTCTCCTAGGATGTCCTGGCGCTCAGCTTATGGGGAACAATGGTTGGTGCTCATGTCTACTTGCCTCCCCGGGGCCAGCATTGAGGCAATGTACAGCTTTCTTACCAGGGGCCATAAGAAAGCCAAACCGCCAGCCTGGCCCTGCCCACACTCTGCCCCCAGACCGCCTGCTAGAGGTGGACTGGAGGTGGCCTGCCCCGTGCCCTGGAGCCAGGCAGGCTAGGGCTGCACACTGCCCCACCTCCTGTGGAGCAGGGCTGGGGCAAAAGGGGTGGGGCTGGGGGCGGGGCCTGGACAAAAAGGGCGGGGCTGGGGCTTGTCTCCCCCAGCCCTACCTTCAGCCACCGCCCACGTTCCTTACAGAGGTTGGGCTGCCCTTCGCTCTCCCGTGCACCGTCCACGTCCCCTTGTTCTCCTTGGCACTGAATTCTCAGCCCCCTCCCTCTCTGGAGACAGCTGCTTGTCCTGCTTTCCCCTCTGGGCCTGTGAAACGGCCTCACCGGAGGGGGTGGGTATGGGGGGGGGCGAAGCCGTCTCCCTTCTGAGCTGCTTCTGGTCTTAGCGTTTCAAATGGCTCCGTTCTCCCCAGGAGGTGGATTCGAGGTGGCTCGAGTACCAGAGCTGCGTGGACTCCCTGGTCCCCTGGATCAAGCAGCACACGCTCCTGATGGCAGATGCCTCCTTCCCCCAGAACCCCGTCGAGCTGAAGGTAAAGGGCCCGCGGGCGTGTCTGGTGCCCGGCGCGGGCGGCGGGGCCAGAGGCCGGGTGCCCATGGTGCTGTCTCCCCTTGCAGGCGCTGTACAATCAGTACATCCACTTCAAAGAGACGGAGATCCCAGCCAAAGAGCAGGAGAAAGGGAGGATCGAGGAGCTGTACAAACTGCTGGAGGTAAGAGCCGGCGTAGCTGCGGGCCGGGGCGCTTGGTGGGAAGGC